ACTGTGCGGGAGGTTGGACTGTACCCCTATTCAGTGCCAGCAGAAAATCGGAGGGCCAGGTAGCCGTGAGGCACGTCAGAAACCCTGCAGGAGATGAGGTAGGGATTCAGTATCACTTGGAGTAGATGTTGAAGAAGAAAACAGTTGCAGACAATGGAAGACTTGGGGCTTTCCAGGGTATCCTGAGAATACTGTGCCTCTGAGCAGGGAAACCAGAGTCACCCTACGTAAAGCCCCAGTGTCAGATGAGGGCAAGCAAGTCCTGCTCAGTGAATGTTCCATCCGGGCAGGACACTGAGACGCACCCTCTCTGTGGCAACTTATGTCAAAAGGCACAGCCTGTTAAACAGAACTTTGTGGAGACACTGGGGCAGCTTAGATAAGATCTCACTTCCCTTCTCTATGAGGAACAGCCCCAGACAAGTCGTTCTGGGGACCGGCCTCGAAAAGTGAACTTGCTCAGACAAAACCCACCCTGCACCGTGACAGGACCTTGTAAAGTACCATCGGCCTCGATACGGCCACCACGGGTATCAGCGCTTGGACCCACGTAATGAAATGGCAGGAATTTGGGGATTTTCCCCAGGCAGGAAGGGAAACCGTGGCCCCATGACCCAGAATATGTTGAGAGGGGTCAGAATAGGCTCCCCAAAATGGCTATGGTCAAGACTTACAGAGAAACGTAACTCTAGTGAGAAATTCTCCATGGCAGGCAGAGCAACGGGTCCTCAGAACCGCAGTCCTCGGGCCCTGTGTTTGAGACCCTTGCTGTTCTGAATGTGGTCCTCAGAGTAGCGGCGTCGGTAGCACCCGAGAGCTCATTAGAAATCCGAACCCCAGGCCTCACCCCAGACCTACTGAACCAGAATCTGTCCCTTAAAACACGCCCAGGCAAGGTACCTGTGCACCACATTCTGAGAAAACATTTTTGGCGTCCTGCTCCACAACCTTGGAATCACCTGGGAAACTTCAGGTTTTGACAGACCCTGTCAGAGCTCTCAGGTGACTCCAATCTGTAGTGGAATCTGAGAACCACCACTCTAGAGAGTTCTGCTCTGGCCTCTTCCGGCTGCGCCCCTGTGCTCAGGTGAGGGGTCCAAAAGCCACTGGTGTGCTGATGAACAGGTTTCCCAGGAAAAAAACGAAAACAAAAACAAATGACCTGTGATACTCAAAAGTTGAAAGTTTGCCATTTCTCCTTGTGTATCTATTCCTGCTCGACCGCAGCTGAATTTGGGCTGCGAGGGTGGTAGCAGGAGGACAGAGGTGGGGAGAGATGACTCCGCTCTCAGGCTCCTGTACCGGCTGGCACCCAGGCTTGGGGCCAATGGGGTGTGTCCACTGTGAGCCTCTGCCCTCCTCTAGGGACCGTAGAATTCCCTGATCCCGTGCAGGTCTTTTCTCCAAGGGGGTGGTACAGAGTTTAAACAGGGGCCCCTCGGAGGAGCCGGCATTAGGAAGAGCATGGGAGGGGGTTGAGAGCAAGGGCTCCCACCTCATCCCTGTAAGTGCAGGAATGAGCCTGCGGACAGTCACGCCCCATTTTGAATTTGCAGCTCTTTTCAGAGCTCTGCTGTGGTATGGCAACCCTCTGTTATGACCAGACTTTCCCTGTTCCTTAAGAGCAGGTTTAACTTGCCAGTCTGAGGCTCAGGTGTGTTTTGGGGAAAGAGGGAGAGAGACAGGGAGAGAGGCCAGCAGATGCTGGCAAGGGCTTGAAGGAATCAGGAATTTAAGTGGGAATGAGCAGGAGAATATAACTCAACTCTGACTGCCCAGGAAGCCTTGGAAATGGTGGGGAGGCGCTGGACTTCCCACAGGATGTGGGAGATAGATTTACGTCACAGTGTTTGTTTGTTAAAGGAAAGATGATCTCGAAAGTTTGGAGGACTTATGGCAGAGAGCTCAGAGCCTGGAGTTAGACTGCTTGAATTCAAATCGCAGCCTCATCACTCACAAGCCTTGTGGCGTTGGGCAAGTGGCCTAAGCTTCCTTCCACTCCCTACTCCATATCTTCCTCATGAACCTGGGGTGCACTGGAAGACAGGGGACTGACTGGCCAGATCTGTGGCAGGAAAGGGTTAAGGAGAGCAAAGGGCCTCGTGACAATAACACTAGAAGGCTGGAGGAGGTGGCATAGAACGGGCATTAGCCCTCTGTGGAAGGAGTTTCTTGGGAAAATGGTGCTCGAAAAGAAGGACACATGGAACCAATGAAGGGAATTGATTAGTGAAAAAAGGCTGAAGACAAGCATCACCTCCTTCCCAGCTGTTATTAGCTCCAGGCTTCAGTCTCTCACCTAAATGCCAGGTAATCCTTCTTTTCTTTTTTTTTTTTTATTTATTTTTAAAGATTTTATTTTTAAGTAATCGCTACACCCAAAGTGGGGCTCGAACTTACAACCCTGAAATCAAGAGTCATGTGCTGTACTGACTGAGCCAGCCAGGTGCCCTGGTAAGACTTCTTTTAAAAGATTCAAAGTGTGAAGGCTTGAGCTGCATCAGTGGCTGGAAATTAAGCTTCCTCAAAGGGCCTATGAGCTCCCCAGAATGCTGACATCTCTACCATGTGTGTGTGCATGTGTGACACACAGAGAGAGCATGTCTCATGGGTTGTCAGGGTCTTGTGGCTCCGGCTCCCTTGTCAGCTTCAGGTGCCAGTCAGCAGCAGGACCCCCTCTGCTTGTCTGTCTCCAACTTAGAACTTACACACGAGTAAAATTTCCTGACCTTATTGCTTTTAAGATGCAATTCTAAGAACATCTTTTTTACAGATTATCATCACTACTTCTGTTTACTCTTACTTCTATACGCATTCTGCCAAGTAGGCAAAGCTCGCATGAGAAGAATCCATATTTTTTTCTCTGCCAGGAAGGTGTGATACCAAGGCAGAAGCTTAGAGAGAGAAGACAGTTCTGCTTTCAGATGGCCTGGATGACGTAGTCCGTCTCTCCCCAGACCAGAGTGCAGATCAGGGCAGGCAAAAGCCCTCACCAGGTATGTGCTTCAGCCTTCGGTTTTTCCTCAGCTGGGTCCTCACATGTGGTCGGATGCTCTGATCTGTAGTAAATTCTCTGACATATAACACTCCCTTAGTCAGCTGGTAGCAGGAAAGTACACCTTAGTGCCACATAGGAATATTTGTAGGATCGACTGTTTTGTTTTGTTTTTCCCCTTCCAGTATTGACGGATAATTGATTCTGATTGATTTATGCCTTTGTTTGAGAGTTCCTATGTATTACTCTAATAGCAGCTAGTGTTTACTGAGCACAGTGCCAGACACTGCACACAGATCATTTAATCTCTTCATACTCCTCCCTCGGGCCTGCACAGTATAGTTGTGTCATTAGTTGTGTCATCTGTGTCTGGCTGAGGAGGCAAGTGGGACTAAAGTCTACCCTCGCTGTGCTGAGGGAGAGGCTTCATCCCGGGAGAGCAAAAATTGTTCTTCACACAAAGACAGCAGCCAGAACTGCTACATTTGGAGCCTTGCTCACCTGTGAGAGAGATGTCTTACTATTCCCATTGCAGAGATTAAGAAACCAAGGGACACAAAGAAGCAACAAAACTTCCCGAAGGTCACACAATTGGCAGGCGGAGGAATAGGGACACAGACCAGACACCTGACTCAGAGCTCAGGCTCTTGACCTGGATGCAATTGGTATAATGTCTGTTCCACTCCCTGGGAATTCCCAGTCTTAGGTTGTGAGCGCCCAGAAGACAGGCTTTCGCATCCCAATGGTTGGCCTTTGAGTCTACACAGCCTGCCGGGTTAATGTCTCATACTAAAGGCGTGAAAGCTCAGGTTCTCTGCACAGAGATCTCTGACTACGGCACCCGGTGGCTTGAGACTAGAATTTCATGATATAACAAGAAGAGAAGAGGCATTGAGAACTGTCATGAAAGGAAGCCCGGAGCAAATCAACCGACTAGATTCTCTTGAGGGCATTCAAGTTCTGAGGCCAAGCAGGACTGCAGTCTGGCGGTCAGGTGACCGAGCCTGCTTGAAGGGGAGGGTTTAACATGAAGCATCCACCTACCTGCCTCGTATCCACACCCCACACCGTGGTCGAACCCTGAAAGATCAGTGTGCCCGGAAAAGAGATCTCCCTTCTAACCGCGTGACTCAGGTTTCCCCCGTTTACTGCATTTCTCTGGGTTCTGCCCTGCCTGCCGCCACCACCCTTCCAGATCCTTCCTGCCCTCTCCCTGATGCCTGAAATTCCTTTAATATGGAACAAAGGCTTTCATTTCATACAGGGTGATGAGGCTTAAAATGCAAGCACCCCTCAGAGAGGTGGCATACTGATTTAAATTCACACCATGTAACTTAGGTATAAACGAGTGCTCGGGTTTTTTTTTTTCCTGAGAGCACCTTTTGATGAGGGGGGAAGGCAGCGGAGAGAATAAGGACACTGGGAAAGGCAGCGTTAGAAGGATGGTGGTCTAGAGAAAGAAAAGGACATAGAGAGGAGATGAATCCGTGTGGCTTCGGCATATATATGTGTGGCATCCTTGGCCCCCCAGTGGGTACCAGGCAGCTCAGTGGAGGGGTGGGCAGGGCGGCCTTTCTCGAGAGTCCACTCTGCTTTGAAACCCAGCTGTGTGGCCCTCGCAAGCTACTTAACTTCTTTGCACCTTGCTTTCCTCGCTTAGAAAATGAGGTGAACAAAACCTATTGTGCAGGACTGCTTTGGGGATTTCTATTTTATTTATTTTATTTTCTATTTTACTGTGGTGACGTGCACATAACATTTATCATCTTAGCCATTTTTAAGTGTATGATTCCGTGGCACTTAGTACATTTACTTCAGTGCAACCGTCTCCACCGTCCCTCTCCAGAACCCTTACCTCTTGCAAAGCCAAAAGTCTGTATGCATGAAACAATGACTCCCCTTGCCTCCTTCTGCTCAGCTCCTAGCCACCACTGTTCCAATTCCCGTCCCTGTGGATCTGACTGTTCTAGGTATCTTGTACAAGTGGAATTACGTAGTATTTGTTCTTTTCTGACTGGCTTATGTCACTTACCATGATGTCTTCCAGGTACAGCTATGCTGTAGCATGTGTCAGAATTTCCTTCATTTTTAAGGCTGAATAGTAATCCGTTGTACGGATAGATCCCACTTTGCTTATCCACTCATCCACAGACGGACTGTTGTGTTGTTTCCACCTTTGGGGTATTGTGAATAATGCTGCTATGAACATGGAGGTACAAATATCTCTTTGAGACCCTGTTTTTAATTCTTTTGGGTATTAAAAAAAATTCTTTGGGGTATAACCAGAAATGGAATTGCTAGATCATATGGCAATTTTTTTTTTTTGAAGGACCACCATATTGTTTTCCCACAGGGGCCACACCACTTAACATTCCCACCAACAGTGTACAAGTGTTCCCTTTGCCCCACATCCTTGCCAACACTTGATTTCTCTTCTCCTCCTTCTTCTCCTCCTCACCTTTCTCCTTTTTGTAACCAACCTAATTATTAAATACCTTACACCGTTTTTACACAATTTCTGAAAGACACACAAGAATCTCACTTTGCATGCCTAGCACCTAGTGTAGGTCTGGAGAAAGGCAAGCACTCACTAAAGGTTTGGTGGCTGGAATACCCAGAACAGTGCTGGGAGCCTGGGTGTTTCTTCTCGTCCTGCCATTGTCCTTTCAACCATGCCACAGAGCGTAAGCCCACAGTGTATGAGCACAACAAGGGCCATCCTTGGGGAAATTCCTTCTGGTGTGCCCTAGTTTCACTCTGCCCTTTCAGCATTTGAAATCATACCATTTAAAAATGGAAACTCAAGTCTTGTCCAAGAATGAGTCTTTCCCTTTTTCTTTTCTTTTCATGAATTAATACTGTAGAGTGGAGAGTTTCTGAACATCAGCTCCAAATGGCTTTGTTTGGTTTGGTTTACGGAGGTGGGAAGAGCTGACTTTCACCTAATGATGTCTTTTGCAAGAAGCTGGTGGGCTTCTTGAAGCTGGCAAACACAAACCGTCCCCTCCTAGGGAGAGGACTAACCCACATCTTGGCTACTCTGGTTATTGCTTCTGCAGCCGCCAGGCCCGTATACACACGGCACCATATGCCCGACAGTCTCCGCGCCACTCTTTTAGTGTCTCCATCTTCTTTTTCTTCTTGAGTGCTGTCAAGAGTTGTGCAAAGGAAGCAAGTTACCTGTGTGCACCCAAGCATGTAGGAAGGACAGAACACAACACAAGAAGAAGGGACAAGAAGTAACATTCCCCCAGAGGGGAGACAGTTCTGGAATCCTTTTCCACGGAATAGCTGTGTAAATCCGGAGAAGTTACTCGATGTCTCTGAGCCTTGGAGTCCCCGAAGACCAAGTGGGAATAACAGTCAATGGCTTTCTCGGGACTGCTGGAGGGTTAAATGTGCTGACATGTATCATATGGTGGGTTCCTGGTGAAGCGTCCCTCATCTGTGATGGCAGCTAAAAGGGTATATGCATTAGTCTGAAACACTAGTGGAGACCCCTGGGGGACAGACGTGCTCATTTCCCAGACTCCCTGACGCTTTCCCTGCGTCTACATTTCCTTGTAGCTGCCTACAGCACATTCAGACAGGACTCTCTACTGTTCTAAACAGTTTACGTCCTCAGGCTGCTTTCCAGCAGGGGCCCCAGCAAAGGCCCCAGGTAGGAACTATGAACCTATTCCTCAAGGTGCCTGCCCTTCTGTTCAGAATAAACAGAGACAGGAGGAAGGCCCAGCTCACAGCAATTAAATGCAGCACTTCAGCACCTGGTTATCTTCCTACACGGCCCTCAGGACTCCCATCTGGGGAAAGAGTTGGGAAGAGAAATGGAAAAGAAAATTCTCCCTGTTCTTCCTGATAGGTTGTATTCCAAAGGTAGGACTTAACAGAAGCATCTTCCAGGCTTTTCCCAGGCCATTGAAGGGATGGAAGAGAAATGAAAACGGTTTTCACAGCGCCCCTTTTCTTGGCTCTCCTTGTTTCCTCCCCTTGACATTCTTTTCTTCTCTGTTCTCCAAGTATCCTGGGACTAGCTGCCGCACAGAGAATACTATTTTTCCCTAAGCAAAAAAAAAAAAAATTTTTATAATTTTGAGGCAGAAAGGTCAAGGCCAACGTAATAAATACTACTTTTTAAAAAATATGCTTCTGGAAAAAAAAAGACTCAAACAGCCCTTATGTGTAAATAGTATAAAAGTCCTTCATTCTCACTCATTCCCCTCAATCTCATCCCCTGGAGGTGACAACCACTTCACAGTCTGCGTGCATTTTTCCAGACATTTATAATTTCTTCCTCTGACAGACATGGAATGATTGTCAGTGTGTCAGACACCAAGGAGAAGTGAAAAAACATAAATCTATATATGTATGTCCATGTGTTTATCTGGCACATATAGTGGCAAAAATGAGATCATGTGTCTCAATAAATAATATCCCAGAGCCACTTTTCCCTGTTAGAATGTAGAAATTCATACATACATATTTATGATTTTTCACAGCTGCATAGTATTCCATTTTAAGGCTATATCCAAACATCTACAACATGTATATTTTATTTTAAAAATAAGCCGTTTATCCTCTGCCTGCAGAATGCAGAGGAACCCACTTCATGGGACCTACTGGAGCAGAACCTGGCATTCTGGGTGAGGATGCTGCAGGGTCTGTCCCCCGCACAAGGGTGGAGAGATGGCTAGATGTGCGGGCTGAGCCTTGGCCCTCTTCAATGAGTAGGCAGGGCCAGCACCTGCGGCACAATGTGCCTGCCAGGGCATCTCGCTGTGGTGCTGAGCCTGCCAGTGCCCTCACTGACTTCACACCCACATCCCTCTGATTGCAGAGCTCTAGCTACCACAGCTTCCATCACATTCTGCTGCCCCTGTCGTCCTGTGTCCAGCGTCTACGTTGACCATAATTTCTGTAGGCTACTGATTAAATAAGGAGAAGGAAGGAGAAGAAATAAACTTGAGGTCATGAAAAATGCAGCCAGAGGAGGACAGTGTGTATGTTGCATGTGTGCAAGCGTGCACACGCACACATGTGCACGTGCCTCTCACGTGCCTCTGTGTGTGTGTGTGTGTGTGTGTGTGTGTGTTGAAAGGACTCACTTTTTCGTGCATGTTGATGGGCAGGGTGTGTGCGTGTGCGTGTTTTCTTAAAAAGAGTCACTTTTCCGTGCCTGTTGATGGGCAGGGTGTGCACACTCACTGGGGTGGGCAGGGAGTCCTCCCTCAGTGGTGAAGGGCAGCAAATGCTGATATTTTAAGCAGCTGCAGATAGTTAAGAAGCTCTTGCTTCATACTCCACCCAGCTATCTGCACCCCCCCCACCCCCGTCTCCTCCTTTGGAGCTGCTAATGAATAACCAATCTTAACACCCAAGCTCAATCCCCCTCACCCCCAGGCACCCTCTCAGGCTAAGGCTAGGGCACTGCGGGGAGCACGGAGATCCGAGATCGGGTCAGTATGGACATTCCTCCCCAGTTACTTAGCTGGGTGGTGGAAGCAAAAATGCACCCTAATTGGTCAGTCAGGGGCCTTTTCTAGGGAGTGAAGGAGGTTTCTGTTTTAAGAAATAAAGTGACTTCTCGGCTGTTGATTCACTGCCCACAGGGAGATTTTTCAGCGGAGGCTTCCTAGACTCTAGAAATTTGCATACAACTTCCACTTCCTGCTTCAGAGCCTGTTCTACTACTTACCTGGGCTTGGAGAGGGAGGAGGGAGGCGGGAGGCGGGAGCCAGCCAAGGTGGAGTGTGAGAAGGAGAGCCCGACCACCCTGCCCGCTGGTCTGTCTGTCCTTGGTGGTGCTAAGGTAAGTTGTTCAGAACGGTCGCCTGCCTGGCCTTACTTTTTAGCTGCTGACCCATTTTCCCAAACACTGTTTTCTTCTTTACTGAAACGTTCTGCCTTCCTTTCCCCCCACCCTCCACTCCCCACCTTTAACTTGTTCTTATACCCACTTGGGCTGAGAAAATGACACTGTAGTTTCTGGCGAGGAGAAAATGCTGGTGGTTTAATATTTCAAACGGGCGAGCTGAGTGAGATTAACTCTTTGAGCAACAGGACGGTGCGCACACGGGTGTGTTTTTCTTCGGAGCTGCTTGGGAACCATTTGTTTGAGTACTTAGTGTCCCCACAAGTTTCGGTTAAGGATCCAGTCCCACTTCTCCAAGGAGGGAGCTGGGGACGGCAAAAATTAAGTAATTGGCTTCCAGCCCCAGGACACGTCAGTGGCAAAGATGGAAGGAAAACTCCCAGTTTTCTTGAACCTTGTCTCATGCAGGGAAAAGATCAACCCCACATTCTTGGGCCAGGAAGTTCAGCTCTGCTCTCTGCCGCCTACCCTCCCCCCTCCCAAGCTGCAGGGACATTTACTGGCACTGAAAACCGGGGGAGAAATGCTATTACTTGATCTCAGCATCTAATCAAGCTTCATGTGACTTTCAAGTTCAAGATGAGCTCTTAGAATAGGGGATTTTTTTTTAATGGATGGCGGGGTGGGCGGGGGAGGGGGGGAGGGAGGCCAAATAACTAATAAAAAAGAGGACAAGAGACTTGGTTTCAAGTCCTTACTCCACTCCTTGCTGGCTCTGTGACTTAGGCAATTCACTTTGGTTTCCTTAGGCCTGGATTTCGTCATCAATAAAATGTGTGTGGGGGATGAACTAACATGATTTTGTCTAAATTCCCTTCTAACAAAATAATGGGAGTCCCACAGGGGTAGCCTTACTGGGTGGTCTTGGAAGATTTGTTTTGTTTGCTGACTATTCAGATATATTAATTTTACCTCCTGCTACTAGATGGTTAGTTCCTTGAGGAAAAGGGTTTTGTTTCTTAATCCTTTTCTACCCCCTAGCACCCTGTATGGGTATCAAACGCTTCATAGGTGCTCAGGCTCTTACCATATAAGCTGCTTTGATTTCTGTTTCATCACCTGCTCTCAATGCACAAGGTAAAAGCAGCTTTCAGGGCCAGAGACCGGGGGTGGCTGCGAGGCCACGTGGCTCTGTGTGAGGGCTGCCCGGAATTTAGGCGTTTTTATCGGCTCTTGCTACATAAAACAGGGGGTTTCTTGAATTAGTTCATGTCCCATTTGGGTTCCCCAGGAAGAACTGTCCTGTGAACTTGCCCACAGAGTCAAGGCAGGCCAGACCAGCCTGGCTCCAGGAGGCTGTGTTACCGACTCAGCGGGAGCTGAAAACCACTGCTGGGCTAGACTGTGCCGTGAGGTGGGCGTGGGGGGGTGGGGGGGCTTTAACCGGAGGTGAAAGGAAGCCATGCAGCACATCCTGATACCATGTAAGGGTGAGGACTGTGATTGGCAGACACAGAATCCTTAACCTTTTCCAAACCACTACTTTATTATTGTTGTTATTGTCGTTGTTATTATTATTTCTTTTGGGCAGTTATTTTTTGTGAGTGCAGCTCCAGCAGGCCCTGGCTGACTGAGATGGGCCGACTCAGGGCTTTAAGTATTGCCAAACTCTTTCTGTGGAAAGGCCGTGGTATAGTCATTGTCATGCTCTTAGATGGCTTTCTTCCCCCACCCCTCGATGAGAGGACAGAAATGTCACAGTGTTTCAACTGTGATGAGTTACCCATTAAATTTTCAAATAACGAAGCACCGTTATCTGAAATGAGGCTCACTGGTCCCGGCTGCCAACCTAGCTTTTACCCAGAAAGACCACCCACAGTCATTCTTAATCTGGTGTTGTGGCTCCAAGTCCTTTCATGATGAAGGTCATGACATGGTGCGGTGACAGCTCTGCGCGCTGTGTGGGGTGGGCTGACTAGGAGTGAAGTCAGGGCAATGAACCAACATGTCCGGGAGAAGATTCCTAACTGGGACATTCCCACTTCTGCAAGGTGCAAAGACAGAGAATGTTTAAGCCTGCTTCTCCCAGGATTAAAGAGTTAGTGACTTTCAAATGCTCTGAAAATAGGAGAAAGCAGTCATATTTGCCGGCATACTCTGACAGGCATTCAGAAAGGCAGATTATGTGGGTAATTTGTCTAAATGAAATCTGTTTTACACAGCACAGAATCGAAAGCTCAGAAATACCCTGAATGCCACCATTTTTCTACGGCAGGCGATTTTAGATAAGCCCATAAAAACATGTAAGAATTGCAGGCAACTGTTTGGAGGGGGGAAGGGAGGGGAAGAGGCACAGACGAGGCACGTTAAACTTTAAATTCCTTCAGGGGACGCCTGGGTGGCTCAGTGGGTTAAACTTTAAATTCCTTTCAGATCCAGTGAAATGACCCCTAATGTTTAATCAGATTTCCTTATCAAAACAATCCTGCTGTCCTTCCGTGAGAAAGCGTCGGAGGACTGGAATCAAGAAGCTCTCCTTCTGGGCCTCTCCGGTTTCTTCTCAGTGCGTTGTCACCAAGATTATTTTTAGTTCGTGAAACCCCAGCTCTCCCCCCCCCCTCCCCCGCCACACACACACACACACACACACACACATTCTTCGTGTCCTGTCACCGGCAGGCCTTTACCAGCCCACATGTGCTCCAATACCTGCAGCAAGGGTCTTTCTGCGCGTGCGTGTGGGGGCGCGTGCGTGTGGGGGCGCGTGCGTGTGGGGGCGCGTGCGTGTGGGGGCGCGTGCGTCCACGCAAAGTATAGACACCAGCGGGCGAGGGGCGGTCCTGTGAGTTGTAAAGCGGCTGAGGAGGTGGGGCACCTTTTGTCTGCCGGGTGACCCTATAGAGCTGTGCCAGTTTGGCTTGGGTCCCTGATGAGGCCCCTAAAATGGAGCCATTTGGGGGTGGGGGTGATGGAACTGCCGGAGCCTCCCCCAACCCGCGTGGCCCCCTTCCTTCCACCTTGAAACCGAGGCTGGCTGGGGTCTTGGCAGGTCCCTCAGTGATGAGGGAAACTTGGCTCTTTTCTGCCTCATTGATTTCCCGCTCTGGGGGGTTCCAGTGTTTTTCCTTCTTCCCCTCCCACGGTCACTGAGGCTCCCTCCCATTTCCGATCCGTGCGCCTCCTCCGAGCTGTCTGCCTAGGCTCTTTTCTTGCCTTTCACCTGTGTTCATTCTTTCCCTTCCCTTCCAGCTACCCCTTCCCATACCCAGTAATACATAAAAATCCCAATTTAAATAAATTTCTCTCCTACACCAAAAAAGGGCACATTTTTAAAAATGCCCTTCAAGTTTTCCCCGCTTTCCTTGTTGTCTCTCTCCTCTTCCATTCCATTCTTGCTTAATACTCCCTCTTCTTTCTCTCCTGATTTTTCCTTTCTGCCCCTTCTCCTTCTCTCTGGGGCTTGGACTGAAACTAAGAATCACAGATATGTGCTTAGAGAAACCGTATTTGAAACAAAACGAACAAAAAACCTGGGCTGGTTTGAGGCTGTGCTCCAAATATTTATCCCCAGCTAACTAGAGGGAAGAATCCGTCCGTTCCCATTAGTCCGTGGTCTCCTTGCTTAGCAGCTCAGAGGAGCTCCAGAGCGAACTTCAAAATCAGGTCAAGTCACGCTGTGCTGCCTTAAGCCTGATGTGAGTCGTACTGTGCAGGGGATGAAAAAGGGCCAGTAAATGCTCCCTTGTCTCCTGGGCTCACCACTGCTTCCAGTCCTCTGGCAAACCAAATGGAAGAACTTCTCTGTCTGGGAAATGCAAGTAAACTTGGAAGTGTGTATTCGCTGGAATTTGAATGGGAGCCAAACAGTTCACTCAAAACCGGCTTCCACTGAGTAAACCGACATTGGGAAAGTTTGCATGCATTTGGGCAGTAAACAAAGAACATTAATGAGTTTAAAGGTTTTTTTTTTAATACGTGACTTTTAGACTTTTAACTTATTAAAAAAAAAAAAAAATTCCTCCCTGAGGAATGAAATAAGACCTTGAGACTCTATAATTGAAAGTATCTGATCCAAATTGGATCTGAGGACCTTTCTAGCTATAAATTTAGATGTTTATTTATTCTGTCCACCTGAAATATTCATATTGTGTGTCTCTAGGACTGTTCAGCCCCATTGTTGACCCAAAGAATTCTTAAAAAAAAAAAATCCAAGCAGTAGGTGAAGAACAAGCCTTGATTACTTAGGAGCTGGTAATGTGGTTTATTAATTACTCAGGCCTGCTCACTTCTGCCCTTCCTCTGTTTCTTGCTCTGCTATTTGTCTTCTTCCAGGGACATAACACCTTCATTAAATCCTATCCGTCCTTGCCGCAGAGGCGTCCCCTGGAAGATATCCCCTCTCTAGATGTATCACCATTTATCATCACCCTTTGTTTGTGCTCTGTCAACCAGTTTTCAATTTATTTTGAATTCAGCTTATGATTAAAATTTAATGAGATCCAATCAAGTGCTTTTCTCAAATCAAGATGCCTCTGCAGTCTCATCCGTGTCCTCTATTGTAATGGCATGAAGGAAAGCCACTACAGGTTTCCCGCCTGGTAATCCTTTATAAAACACAGGTGGCTTGGATCCACGCCTCCTTAGCTTCAAGGTGAATGGTTACAAAACATACTCATTTTAGAAGCTTCCAGGGTTTACTCGGCTCCTTCAGGCCCCTTCCTCCCTCCTCCGTCCAAATAGCTGTACAAGTCAGGGCTCCCAACCAACAAATTACTGAGTGCGTGGGTTCTGGTGCTGAACTGCTTGGATTTGAATCCTGTCTGTGCTGCTTACTGATCATGTGATCTTGGGAAAGTTACCTAACTTCCCTGTGCCTCAGTTGCCCCATCTGTTAGATGAGACTGCAAATAGTACTTGCCAAATAGGGCAGCTGTGAGGATGAAATAAGTTAAAATATGTAAAGCACTTGGAGCAATATTTGGCATGTAATAAATGTT